CTAAATCATACAATCAGACAAAACACATAGGATAAAGTAGTCATTTTATATGAATTTTATAAAAAATTTGCCTGATTGTATGTCTAAGTTATAAACATAGCATTATTCAGATCCTTATAAACAAAGGTCAATATTCAAAATATTATGTATTAAAATAATTCTGATAAAGTATATTACTATATGCATTATTATATATTTACTATATAATTTTGAGAATCTAAATATTTAATATCAATACAATTTGCTAAATTAGTGTATGTATTAATATATATATTTGTGTTAGTATATTTTATAAGGTCTATTCATGTACAATAACTTAAATGTCATATTAAAGCTGCGTAGAATTCCCATCTCTTATACGATATTTTTGGTAACTTTTAAATATGTTTTAACCATTTGAAAATATTAAAATTCCGTTTTAATAAATTACTACAAGAAATTTAGTCTTAGACAACAAAATTGCCCTTTCGGAAAAAATAAATGATTCCTTGCTAAAACTCTTTATTGGGAAACTTTAATTCGTTTTTGACTTCTCGATAAAAGAGCTAATAGAAACAATCAATATATGTATAATCGAACTATCTCTAGGTGGTTGAGTTCAAATCTCGCTTCGATTGCTAACAGGAATAATTACTGGAATTCTTACCTGACCGGTAGTTCCAAGGTATGATCTACTCATTCACACATTAAAAACTTTAGAACATCCGCAAAGAAGAAAATCTATAGTAATATATATAAATAAAGGAATATAGCTATATAGTTTGCAAATAAAGGAATATAGTTATACAGTTTGTATATATTATAAATAAGGAAAAAAAAAAAATCCATATTTTTGTAGGTTCCAAATTAGCCCACCCATACGGGAAGAAAATTTGTATAGGTTCAGACCTATATAAAAAGTAAATTTGTATAGGTTCCAAATAATAAATAAGGAAAAATATTTATATAGTTTGCAAATAAACCTCACCCATATGTATGGCAAGAAAATCTATGTAAGATTGTATTCTAAACAAGGGAACATATATAGTTGCATATAGACTTTGCAAATAAACCCCACCCATATATATGGCAAGAAAATCTACATAAGATTATATTCTAAAGAAGGGAATATATATGGTTGTATATAGACTTTGCAAATAAACCAATCAAGCAATAAGCAATCAAACATCTCAAAATCACATTCCCACACTTGAACTCAAAGAAAAAACATGAAGACCATCCAATTTTCTGCCATCCTACTGCTCGCTCTCTTCTTTTCTGGTAAATATATTTCATTCTTTTGTTAAATTCTTACATAGATCTGACATATTATGTTGTTTTTACTACTAGACGGGTGTACGAATGACGTGATTTAATTGTATATCACTGACGTTCTGTCATAGTTGTTAAAATCATGTTATAACAACTGTTTTTCATGATTTTATAACGCTGCTACTGCATCCGTAGTATCACAAGCCAATACCAACAAAATATGGTATTTTGGACTTAAATTGTTAACATAAATTTTTAACTGTTCATCTATTACAATCCAATGGTTTAAGAGTTGCAAAGGTGACAAAAATAACCACCTTAAAGGTGCAAAACTTATCCGTTAGATTACAATAAATCAATAGCTATGGATTTTTGTTCCAATTTAATAAAACAAAATTATGTAATAATTAAACTCGCTAAATTTGTTAAACGTATATAACAATTAATTAAAACTCGTTGTTGTATACCTAAAATTACGATACTCCAATCCTTTTATAATAGTTTGCTTTACAAGTTATGACATTATGCAATAAACATCTCACACTAGAACTCAAAATCACGTATTGCGCACCAGTACAGTCGAGAGAAAAAATATGAAGACTGCACAAGTTTTTGCCATCTTCTTCCTCGTTCTCTTTTTTGCTGGTAAATATATATTTCATTCACTTGTTAGCACTACAAGAAAAAGAGCCTTTTGTTCGTAAATATATCTATTAAATCTTGACATAAAACCCAGCATGAAGGACTCTTTTTCTTGTAGTGATACTTGGTTAATATCATTCATGCATGAGGTATTTCTACGTTGGTTCAACATAATATAATTGTATGCAATTGTGAATTTTTTTTTCATAAATTTCATATTTTTTTTTTATTTTTTTTTTTTATTTGTAGCTGCGTTAATGGTGCCTCAAGCTGATGCGAAAAGATGCGTACAAATTTTATATAATGGATGTAAACTTAGCAGCTGTAAGCATGCTTGTCATGACAAATACAGTGATACACTATTTGACGCCAAGTGCATACAAGATAATAAAGATATCAATCTCTATAACTGTAATTGCATTTATTCTTGTGATTGATTTATTATAACATGTTTTTGACATGAAATCTTAAATTACTATATGTATTATGATATCATACTAGAGTATCTTTTGATGTATCTTATATTATATACTTGAAATAAAATATAAAGTTCTACATTGTATCAATATAATTTTGATATATTACTATATGCATTAATATATTTCATAAGATCTTATTGACATTAAATAATTTAAATGTAGAATTAAATTAAATTTTTTGGTTAAAAAGAGAAGGGTAGGATTCCAATTTTGTTAAAGAGTAATACTACATGTATAAATTAATTATACAAATTATTTCATACAAATTGTTGTGGCAACCCTACATGCTTAAAAAAATTTATATCACGAGTGGATCTGAATTTGTTTAGATTACAAGGCCATCTCATATGCCTTGAAGTATTATTTTCCTTAAATTAATTTTACTATTAATCAAAGTTTAAATAATTAAATTTATTTAATTATTTAATAACATATAGAATTGTTCATTTTTTTAAAGATAAATATAAAAAAATTATTAATTAAATTTAAATTAATATTCAAGTATTTAATAACTCAAAAAATTGTCCCTAAATTTATAGAGAGAGAAAAGTGGTAAAACAAAATTATGTTATAATTAAACTCAGTTAATTTGTTGGACATATATAAGTTATAACAATTAATTTAAACTTGTTGTATACCTAAAATCACAATACTCCAACCCTTTTATAACAATTTGTTTAACCCTCAGGGTGCGTTTAATTCAGGGAATGTTAGATTACTAGAAATGTTGAATTACTATAATCTTATATTATCTTGAAGATTACTGGAAATCTTTAAGAAAATGTATTTGATTAGTTGGTGGGTATGTTATATTAATATATTTGGTTAGGGGGAATAAATTGGTGGGTATGTTATTTAAATTACTAAATTGCCCTCTTTTTAAATATTAATATAATATTATTTTTATTATTAATTTTTGAATAATTTTTTTTAACTCCCAATATTTCAGGTTTAGCTAAAACACCCCCACTTATATAAAACTTTAATTTATGACAAAATCACCCCCACCCCTTGCCGCCATCGTAAACCAAAGTTGGAAGTCTCTGAAAGTCATCGTGAATGGCTCACCGTGACCACGAGGCTTCGATATGGCCGTTTCTGGCCATATTGATGGCTAAAAACAGCCATATTAGGCCAGATCTGGCTGACAATGGCCAGATCTATTCTAGCCATTTCTAGCCAGATCTGGCCTGATATGCTCGAAAACGGCCATATCAAAGCCTCTCAGAGCCTCCCCGCGAATCTTGGTCATTTTTAGGGACTTTGACGACTTTCTAGCGGCGGTCCGTGGCGGTTGGCTCACTGTCGACGGTGATGGCTCGGTGGCGATGGTGGTCTGTAATTTGTTTTAAATATAAGGGTATTATTGTCCAAAATCTTAATTAAAAAAGGGAAAAATTGAAATGATATATTAATGTAAATTTATTTTAAATCAGGCGTATTATTATCCAAAATTTTTATTAATAAGGGATATAATTGTAACAAAAATTAGATTACCAAGGCAATCTTACAATACCTAAGAAAATGGAGGTAATCAGATTACCTCAAGTATTACCAATAGTAACAACTATTGGTAATGCAAGATTACCGAAATCTTATATTACTTGACAACCAAACATGGTAATCAAATAATATAAAATGACATAACCCTAGTAATCTTCCATTACCTCTAACCAAACGCCCCCTCAGGTTTATATATTATGTCGATGTGTAATAAACTTCTCACAAGAATCACATATTACATTACACCACTAAAATTCAGATAAAAAAACATGAAGACTGTCCAAGTTTTGGTTGTCTTCTTCCTTGTTTTTTTTTCCTGGTAAATATGTAGAGAAATTCTTTTACAATTGATTTTCCTACCCTCATATTTATATTATGGTATTATACTAAACCATCTTCTAATGTATGCTATATTATATAGTTGAAATAATTTGTGTTAATATATATTTACTATATAATTTCTAGTACCTAAATATCTAATATCAATATAATTTTGATATATTAGTGTTATAGATGGTAAAAATCTACAATTATGGGACGAACAGATCTTGTGAAGTTAAGGTCATTGATGATTTGTTGGACCTACACAAAAAATAATAATAATAATAATAAGCGTGAAGCTCACGGGGAACACCAATGTGGTGTCTACCATAGGCACTTCAATGCTCAAGTTAGCAAAGGCTAAGGAGAGGAAAGGTTTACCGAAGTCTCGTCGGAGACTAGAACTACGGTGAAGATGATGGTAGTTCTTAGAGTAAGAAATTTGGGAGCAAGTGGGTGGTATTGAATATTGAATGCATAATGAGGATTGACCTCTGTTTATATAGTGAGCAAAGGAGCTTGAATCCTAATTGAACTTTCAGTTCATAATGGTAGAATTTAAGTAAATAAAAAAGTCTCGATTTAGAGTGAGGGTCATAATTCATATAAGATTTATGATCTTAGATGAATTAGGATATAGATAAAATAGGAAGTAGATGAATTAGGGTATGAATAAAACTCTGGACCCTTTGAAACAATCGTGGGCCGATGGGCTAGGCCCAAGTGGAATAATAGCGAGGCCTAATTTGGATTAAGGCCTTAGTAATTTAGATTATCCAACTCGGGAGCAGTTTGGTTGGTACAATGGGCTGGCTCATGGTACAGACCTTAGAATAGGCCCAATAAGAATTGGCCCATGATATTGGGCCACGTAATAGATGTTTTGGATCATGGCCTGATAAGGCCCATTAAATTTTTTGGCCCATGCAAGTGTATGTACTAATATATATATTTTGCGAAAATAAGTACAACTTATTCTAAATACCATTTGTTTAGATATGTTTTAAATAATTTTTAAGCAATGTCAATATTTAAATTCCGTTTTAGTAAATTACTACGAGAAATTTAGTCTTNCCCTCCTCAGCCTGGGGCATATCCACCGCAAGGTTATCCACCACAGCAAGGTTACCCCCCACAAGGTTATCCTCCACAGCAAGGTTACCCTCCTGCCGGCTACCCGCCAGCTGGTTATCCCCCTGCTGGCTACCCTCCGGCTGCTCATGGCCCATCAGCCTCACATCATTCAGGTATGAAGTTGGGATAAAACAAATGTGTTGTTGAATTAAAATAGTGAATTTGAATGGTTGTTTTAAAGTTGTAACTGGGATCTTTAATAATCTGAGTACAATGCAAAGTAAGTATTATTGATTTGCATTTGATTGGTGAAACTAAGAAGAAGATTCTGGCTTTAAAATTAGGCAGGTTGACATTGTGAATTTCCTCTATAGATTGATCCCAATATTGCAATCTGCTGGTTTGGAAGCTTATTTATTTTTTGTCTTGACTTTGCAGTCATTGGCTGATTGGGGACATCATTATTTGGAACTAGTTTTTTATTTTTTGGCATTTCGCCTCAGAGATTTGAGGAACTTGATTGTCGATTTTGTGTTCTTGTGATTCCATGGCAGTTGCTGAACTTCTTTCATATTTTCAGGACATGGCGGTATGGGGACACTTTTAGCTGGCGGGGCTGCAGCGGCTGCAGCTGCTTATGGTGCATCTCACTTGGCACATGGTGCTCATATGCCTCATGGTGGTGGTCACATGCCCTATGGAGGAGCTCATATGCCCTATGGAGGAGCTCATATGGGTCATGGAGGCAAGTTCAAGCATGGGAAGCACGGCAAATTCAAGCATGGTAAGCACGGGAAATTCAAGGGTGGGCATGGAATGTTCGGGGGAGGCAAGTTCAAGAAGTGGAAGTGAGTGGAAGTGATTTGCTCTTGTTCATCAACTGAATCATATGACCCCTGACTCTTCATATGTCAATTAGTTGATTTCGGTTTTCTTCTTCAATAATTCATACATTCTATGATGACTTCAATCGCTTTGTTTATTTGACGATGTTGGGTTTGACATGTTTTTACAAATATATACATTTTTATATACATATTACCTTCCGGCTTTTATCAATTACCGTACATAAAACTTCTGGGTCTGCGGCGCAATTGGGACTTTCTTTCCCCAACATTTGAAGCCATTTTGATTGCTTCTCCAGATTATGATGTTAGCCTGTTGATCCATAATTTATACCATTGTTATATAAAAAAATCGGGCAAGTTATTTTTGTCAGCTGTTCAATGTTTTTTATGAATTAATACAATAAAATTAAAATGTGAAGACGCATAACATTGATACAGTCAATTCACAAGTACTTTATATTGAAAACATTTGAATTTACAGTATGAAATTAAAATATCAGACACATAAATTAATACCCATAAATTACCTCTGAGTAGCCAAGTAGTTTGTTTAGGTGTATTACTCAAGAGGTTATGAGTTCGAGTTTCTCTTCAGTTGCTAATTGGAGTAGCCACACGAGCTTTGACTCGGTCGGAAGTTCTAGCGTCTTGTTCCCGAGGGATTAATTAAGGTGCGTATAAATTAACTCGAATACTTTCGGTCATTAAAAAAAATAAAAAAAAAATTAATACCCATAAAGTCACAATATATAGCACCCCAAAGAAAAAATAATTACTAGCATATCTTGGAGAGAAGGAAAGAGAGAAACGCCTTGAACCCTCACTCGTATAAAAATATAACAAATAAAATAAAAGGTGCGTTTGGTTCAGGGAATGTTATATTATTGAGAAATGTTATATTACTGGAAAGATAGATTACTAGGGAATCTTTAAAGAAATGTGTTTGGTGAGTTGGAATAAATTGATGGGTATGTTATAATAATATGTTTGGTTGGGAGGATAAATGAGTGGGTATGTTATGTAGATTACTAAATTGTACTTATTTTTAAATAATAATATAATATTATTTTTATTCTATTATTTTTTAAATCATTTCTTTTAACCCCCCTATATTTGAAATTTTACTAAAACACCCCAACCATATACAACTTTAATTTGTAGCAAAATCATCCTCACTCACCCCAAGCCACCGCCGGCAGCCACCACCACCACCAGAAGCCGCTGTAATGGCGCACGACCAGCCAGATCTGGCTGGTCGTATGTCGATCAAGCCTAATCCGGCTAGATCTGGCCATGAATATGGTCGTTTCACTGCTAGATCTGGCCGTTAATATGGTCATTTCACGGCCAAAGATCTGGCCTTTTCATGGCCAAATCTATGGCGTTTCACGGTCACATCATTGGCCGTGAAACGGCCAGATCTAGTCGTTTCCGGCCATGGATCACAAATCCATGGCCGAAAATGTCCTTATCGGCACACGACCGGCAAGATCCTGCCAGTCTTGTGCCGATATGACGACTTTTGCCGATAGCCAGTAGTGGTGGCTAGCGGTTAGCGGTGGTCTTGGATGATTGAGGGTATTTTGTTAACTTTTAAACTTTTTTGTGGCGGGGGTGTTTTAGCTAAATTCTCAAATGTAGGGGGTCTGGGTAATTGTTATTTGGTAGACATATGAGGGCAAATATGTCCGAAATGATAAAATATTAAAGGCAAAATAAGGTCAAAATTAAGATTAACACCCCTTGGGAAGGTAATCTGATTACCCCCAATATTACCAACAGTAAACACTATTTGCAATAAAAGATTACATAATTTTTTATTACTTGACAACCAAACGAGGGAATCTTGAAAATTAAACAAAGATTACAAGATTAATCTTATATCACCCTGAACCAAACGCTACCAAAGGGAAATGATCTTTGACCTCATCTATTTGATCAGTAATTTCCATCATCTATTTCAATAAAGGATAAATTAGTAATATATATATATATATATATATATAGGAAAACCTCTTTATAATATACTTTATATAAGAATAAACTCAATATACTTTATATAAGAATAAACTCTACATAGTTATAAAAAATTATATTCTCAATTTGAAATAGTTATAAATAAGAATAAACTCCACATTGTAATAAATTATAATTTTTCTAATTCTCGTCTTAAAGAAAGTTGTCTCCACATATTAATAATTAATATATGTATATTGAAAAAAAAATATGTTATATTACATTAAAGGTTAAAATAAAATAAAATATTTATCTAAAATGTGTGGAACAATAATTAACTTAGAGTTGTTACCACATCTTTAACTTGCGGGTACATTACTTGCTACATAAACATTTTCTTGTGAAGTCAAAACATTTTTAGCTTCAAGCATGTTTAAAGCTTATTGGTACAAAACTTTTTATATTTTGTACTATCTCCTCATAATTGTTTCTTCTCTTCTTGTCTAATATAGCAATGATTTATTTCTATAAACATACATGAATTGTTGCTCATTTGGATGATTAAGGAAGATTAATATCCATTGATTAATATAGTGAAGTTGTTGAATCTGATCACTCAATTCTACAATGACTCTTTGATTCTCCCATCCACTTCAATTGTAACTTGCAATTCATAAACATCGGGGCTTTAATTTTGAATGCTTAAAACAATTGACAATTGTTGGTAGCTTCACATCAATTGACCATGCGCAACTGCATTTACAATTCCATCAAAGACAGTTATCTTTATTGGTTCCAAGCACCGATCTTCTATTCGTTTCAAAAGTAGGCAATTGAAGCGTTGAATTGAACTCTAATACTATTAAAACATGATTGAAATCCTAATATTGTAACTACAAAACATGAATTATGAAATAAGAAATTTTTGTAACTACATCTCTATTAAGTTATAACCTCCTTAGTAATAAAATTAGTTAGTCTCACCATTAAAATAGAGAGGTTTTACTATATATATATATATACACTGGATGGGCCTTGTGAGTGGGATTATTTTAACATGATATAGTTAAATAATAAAAAATTATAGGCAACAATATTATAAAGAATCAAAGTTCAGCCATTACTAAACGATTCAGAAATATTCCTATATATATATATATATATATTATATAGTATTATATAGATATATATATATTGGAGTCCCACACCGACTAGGCACGGTCAAGCTTATTGGGTTATAAGAGGGGCTAATCCTCTTATTCAACAAGGTCTTATTGGATAAGGAGTCAGACCTACCTCAAATTCTATCATGGTATCATAGCAGGTTGTCTAGCAATCTTTCCTTGGTCCAATCTCCTCCACTGTCGTTGCCTCACCTGTAAAACAAAAATCCAATTTGGTTCTTCTTCTTTGCCAAACCAAAAAATGGAACCCATCACACCAACTACAGGCCTAGATTCAACCAACCCACTCAACACTCAACCCAACCCAACCGCACAAATGGACCCAAACAACCAAAGTGACCCAACATGCCCACAAACCCAAACCTATCAATTCCATCACAACGACCCACAGCATCAAACAGGCCAAACTCCTTTCCGGTATACAGGTTCTAGCCCAAACCCGTTTCCCTACCAATTCCAGATCATCCAGTCGAATCATCGTTGGTCGAAGCCTAGTGATGCCCTTTTTTCTTCTCTGGCTGAAAGACAAGATTTGGTTCTCGTTAAACAACCACTCACTGGGTCAGAAAATTACACAATGTGGGCTCATGATTTCCGTCAGGCTTTAATCATGAAAGACAAAGATGGATTTCTCGACGGAAAAGTGGCTTTTCTGGCAGAGCCTCATCTCCAAAAGCACTGGACCAGATGCAACATGCTGGTTCGCTCATGGATTAAGTCAAACCATCCAATGGCAAGAAATCCACCCATTTGGTCAACCAAAGCAACAATTAAAATCAAAGCCCATCCATCCACTCATCCAACGGTCCATGTCTGGGGAATTTTTGAAATGGATCCAACGGCTCAAGATCATTCCGCTTTGGTAAGAAAATGTACTATGACTATTGTAAACGGAGAAATCATAACCGAGATATATGCTGGAAACTCCATGGTCATCGAAAAGATAGAATTGGTAATTCCACAGCCAATAATGTTACTGCCATAGGAAATGAAGCTACATCAAACATGATCAAACCCGAACAGATTAGTCAGCTCATCCAGATGCTGAACCAACTTCCCACCAACAATGCTTATGCCAGTTATGCAGGTACTTCTTTTTGTTTTAGCAATTCGATTTCCCGTGATTTATGGATTATTGATTCAGGAGCTAGTGATCACATCATATGCGACCCTAAATATTTCTAGACACACACACAATCCACGTCACACATTTCTGTTAAATTGCCAAATGGAAATATTACCCCAGCCACTCATACAGGGATACTTAAACTCAGTGATTCCATCATACTAAGAAATGTCCTATTTGTTCCCACACATTCAAATTTAACCTCATATCAGTGTCCAAGTTTTGCACTGATAACAATTGTTCCTTACAATTCCTTCCTAATATGTGTATATTTTAGGACCCTTCGACTGGCAAACAGATGGGCTTAGGTAAGGCCCATCATGGCCTCTACTACTGGGAGCCATTTTCTGATGTTTTCCTTAGAGATTTCAATACCAAAAATAGTGGCAATTATTCTAATGCCAGTATTAATAATAAATCTCTTATTTTTCATAATCGTTTGGGTCATAGTGCTTCTATCCCTGAGCAAAATTGCCCAATTTGCCCTATTGCTAAACAATCTAGGATAAGTTTTTCCACAAGCTCATCATCCACAAAAGAACCTTTCTCACTTGTTCACCTTGATATCTAGGGCCCCTATTCTACTCCCAATCATGATGAATCCAGGTTCTTCCTCACCATAGTTGATTATTTCTCTCGGGGAACTTGGATCTTCCTCATGCAAATAAAAACTCAAGCCTTCACCGACATCAACAATTTTCTCTCAATGGTCCACACACAATTCTAAAAACAAGTCCAAAGAGTTAGGACTGACAATGCCTTAGATTTTTTCAATAAATAGTGTTCGAATCTATTTCTTTCTCATGAGATTCTCCATGAAAGCTCTTGTACTTATACCCCTTTACAAAATGGGGTTGTTCAAAGAAAA